AATCGGTCTATGCTATGCGATTGTGTTTAAGTTTCTTTTTTCATTACAATCATTATATAGTTATCTGTAAAATACAAGTATCACTAAGTCGTTTGACGTGCGGAACTCATACGTCCTGAGGGTAATCTGGCTACGATTAGTTTTACAGTGAACTATTTATTTATATGATGTACATGTAAAATATTATAGTGAATTATGTTAATCTAAAACGATAATAACTCAATTGTCGAAATATAAAAAAAAAAAACAGCTATTTTAAAGTTCAAAATTGATTATAAAAACAACACTGAGTTATGTTGAAGAAAAAATACGATTTTTCAAAATCAAGAATTTCGAAAACCATTTTTTTATTATGTGGCCATTTTTATTATTTTTGCGTGTATATTTAAAAACACATTTACCATTCGAAGATAATTTATGTATAAACAAAAAATAACGTATTTGATATTTATGTTAAACGATGAATAAATGACTTTCTAATACAAATTATGCATAGTTTATTTATGGTTGAAAATCAAAATCTTAAATCGTTTATAAATAAATAATACAATAATTATAAAAACCCTTTTAATAAACTTCATTGATATTTTCTCTAGGCCATTACATAAATATATAAATATAAAATTATTAAAATACTTTAAGATGATAAATGTAATAAGTACATTTATTTATTTATTGAAAAACGCCTAAGGACGAATTAGTGTACAAATTTCTTATGGTATAACATAATACAGGGAAAAAATCATGATATAGATAAGTTCACAAATGAAAAAGCTAGTAACAGCTCTTTAACTAATATTACAAATATTAAAAATAGTAGAACAATTTTCGAAGTATATATATATACGTAATAGTAATATTATAAATTTAAGAATGAATTTCAAATTATATAATTTATTAGAAGGGAAAGGAAACATTTAGGTATAGATACTTTTTCTTGATGAAAATTTAAAGTTAAATACCGTAGTTTAGACTCACAGATAAAATTGAAATGTTTTGAAAATTATTAAATCAGTCATTTTAAATTTTACATAATAACTTGTTTAAATAATTGTTAGAAAAAAAAATCTCCTGAAAAATTATATAACAATATTTATTCTATTAAATTTAAAGTAATGATACGTTTAAGATATTATATAATACCAACGTTACATGCATTAAGTTGATTTACGTTGTCATCTAAACCAATAAGACTTACATATTTCTTATGTTACGCAATGTTCACGGATTAAATAATATTGTCAGGATACTAAGTATGAGATCACAGAATGATTTCGTCTAAAAAATAATTCACATATCGAAGATACATTCTTAACAAATTCTGAACTCGAGTTTGTTGAACAATGTTGGATATCCGTTGGAATTCGTAAAAGTTTATTTGAAATTAACAACATACCTAGCTAACGATTTCCTAAGGCCAAGATTTCGAAATCATCTTAGTTGCGCTTATGGGTATGTTTGATGTTCAGATGTTTTCTTAAGCTGGACATCGTAGACGCACGCGAATAATAATTGTTCATCGAAACAGTTTCTCGAGTTATAACAGATCGCATATAACGATTGTAACGATAACCTAGCAATCAGTGATTTGCTAAAAATAAGAATCATTACATGGGACATGCCTATAAAATATATATGCTCATTGACATTCGTGGTGAAATCCTCTCTCTCACTTCCAGGACGAACATCTCACGATCGAAAAACATTACGGACATTAATTAAAACCGACCGTGTACCCACTCGCAACGCACAAATAAACTAGACGTTCGGATGATTTACGATTGCGCAGCGTCTGCAGGCAGCTGTAGTTTTTCAGAGCAAGAGATCGTCTCCGAGAGATTTAGTCGGTTTTTTTGATCATCTCCTTACGTTGACGACGACGACGACTACAGGCCACGCGCACGTGTTTGTATGCTCTGTCGAATGTGTATACATCGCGCGATCTTAATGCTATACACGAGGAAACATTAATAATTAAGACGTCTCGCGTGTCCTCTTTCTCGATCACGCCGCGCCGACCGACGACGGGACGTCGAACCGCATCGGTTGCTATCCGACGGCGATATTAATAAAATTAATAATAATCGAAACGTCCGGGAGCGCATCACAACAGTATTATACTCGAAATAAGACCCCGACGAAACGTTGCAATTCACTTATAAACAACATCATGATCGTTTATTATGAACTCATAACACGTACGAATATAGATTGATTTATTGTGTGCACGAGAGTGCGCACGTGTGTGTGTGTGTGTGTGTGTGTGTGTGTGTTGTTTGCTAAAAATAAATTTGTCCCGATAAATATCCAGAAACCTACTTATGTAGATAAAAAATATTTTCTCTCGTTTTGTACTCGAGATTGTAAATTTTCGTAAACAGTTTGCTTGACACTAATCATCGCATATTTTCTTTTTAAATTAATTTTGATGGAATTAAGAGGGATACAACCGAAATTGAAGTAAAGTTTTTCATTGTGAGTTAAGATCTGATATAATTTCCTTTCTAATTGAATCAGTGTCCCTATTTATGAGACCACAACAGTGACTTAATTAATCCGTTAATTACCTATTTTAGTTGGACTGTAATTGAAAGGTCGTAAAATTAATTTTTTATTCATCGCCACCTAACATTCTAATTACTTAATTCGCAATTATTGAAATTATATTATATAGTTAGTTTACCAAAATTGTACTGTATTCTTAGTATAGGCATGTTTAATTTTTATTTTTAAGCAAAACAGTTAATCATATTTTATACACACACAAAATATATATATATATGTATAATATACGACCGAATAATACATTATGCTTTTAAACAAATTTTATATTTATATTTTAAATAAAAATTTCATTTTTTACTTTATAAAATATTATAGATGTATATATTTTAATATATTTTTTTTTTTTAATTAATAGTAAATCATAAACTACCGATGAAAAAGTAAATATATTTATACATTTAAAACCATTTAATGTTACGCTTTCTTAACGACAATAAAATAAATGTAGGAATTACAATATTTTAATGTTGTATAGGTGTATTATCTGTAATCGAAAACCATCGCAGTGCGTTGATACATTGCGTTTCTTGTGCACGTAACACGTATTATCAGTACGGAATCATAAATTAAAATACTCCTGTTATAATATTCTTAAAGACGCGTTTATACCCGTACATAATATTATTTAAGCGGAACCTATACACCGTTTTTTTTCCACGTCTGCGCATAACATCCTCGGAGCGCCCATTAAAACAAAATCACACACATAGAAAAAACGAACAGAAGAAATTACGGTGTATTGACCTGTTATGAAAACGTAAAATAATTGAACGTAAATATTGAACGCTGTTTTTTTTCTACAGTTGGGTGGTAACAATTAATTTTAAGAAAAACACATACTCAATCGTCAACACTGAATGACCAACTATTTCTGTACGAATTACCAAATAATTATCTAACGTAGGTATGCGCCAATGTAAATGATCGCAACATTATAATTCATTTATACAACAATCTTACACGCGTTTCGTACTGATTACGTTTTAACACGCATGGATAAAAAACGCACGTTGCAGTAGGTATGGAAAATAATTATTGGGTGCAAGAAAATTTTAATTAAATATAATCTCTCCGACTCAATCTTCTGAGATCAGATTTTTCGAAAAATGTAACGTTCAACAACGCGATGACCGAACGAACGAACCGATAGAAGTCTTAAAACTCATCTTAAATACTATAAACTGGTTTATTGCTGTTTTTTATTTACTTGGAAAGTACTTGGGTACATATTAGGTATACATAATTCGCTCTTCGACAGCTATAGAAATATATACACAGAGAAAGATATTCGAATAAACAATAATTGTTTTAATAACATTTAAAGTATAAAATATTTATGGTAAGCAAAGTGATTTGAAATAAGATTTTGACACGATAATAATATCATGCTAAGTAAAAAATTTCTCTCGCAATCTACAGATAAATCTTGACATGAATAAATGAGGGTAACTAATTGCGATAAAACAGCCATAAAAATAGACTGAGGAAATTAAACCAATGGATAAAATTGCCAATAAAAATGTTATACCTTCGATTCATAGAAATATCAATCGATAGATCAATCACCACTCCTTACACAACGTTTGACACCTATTCTAGTGATCAGATTATTAGCTCAATACACTAAGACTCAATTATGGTCGCTTCAAACCAACTAAATCTTCTTGATCAAATGGCTTTTGGGTATTTGATACGGAGATTGAACCGACACAAACTATCAAACTACATTTTTAATTATATTTTCCACAGTGATTCAAAAACGAAGTTTGTACGCGATAAAGCGAAAGAATTTTACTAAATATTTCACTGCGCCTCGAAAAAATCATTTAACATAAAAATGATTTACATTGTCAATCCCGGGAAATTTACTCCTGCCCCTATTTTGTTTAGGAGACATTTAAACAGAACGGACATTTTCGCGAACGACTTATGGGTTAGCTGTGATTGAAATCGTTTTAAAGTAAACCGGAAGATTCCTAATATTTTCTATGTACCGGTATTTTTACTAGAAACTATTTTGAAAAAAGCAAAAAATGTATTTCTCACATCAAAACAATCAGATTACTTTAAAGGTTTAGACGAGATAAAGAAAGTCTCGGAAAAAAAAAATCAATTTTCTATTCGTAATAGGTAAATTGAAATCCATTTCGTTAAAATCTGTACGTACCTATGTACTGGATATTAACAACCAAATTTTGGATGCGTGGTCGAAAACGAATAAATCTTTTAAAATATTCAATCGCCGGTTCGTGACAAGCGTATACTATTTTTACCAAACCTACTCTGGAACGACTGCGATTCGTTACCGTTAATTAATCACACAACTTCGCGTTGGTCCTATCGATGTCCTATATCAATCCCGGTGATTTACAAAAAAAAAAAAAGACCGGAACAACAACAACAATAATAGATAATATAATATGAAGTGTACTCACGTGAGGTCGCATCCACACGATAGGTTGAACCGCGGGCCGCTTGTTCTTGTACAGGCACTTCGGACCGGCCGGGAAGTCGGGATCGTCGAACAAGGCGCCGCGTTCCCGGCACGAACGGCGTACCGCGTGGTAGTTGGGTTGTTGCCTAGGCCTCTCCACGGTCCAGTAACCTCTGTGTACGAAACAAAACAACGAGTTTAAAACGAGACCGCATTATAATAAAATAAAATAAAATCATCTACGGTTAATATTATTAGTTATTATTATTGTTATCATTTACCACCCCTGACCCCCGTTTTTCAGAACACGCGAACGCGGAAGTACGTACGCAGACCAAGAGATATTTTTACAAATCGTGTAACCTCGGCGGATTATTCACGTTAGGTTAAGTCAAGTTAAGTCCTGTAGTGTTTTGAAAAAAATCATGCTTTACACCGTGCAATATACGTTCTCACGATTTCTTTTACCGATCCTTTATTCGAAAAATGTCATCCCCTCCAGGTCGAATGATAAGGAATTAACGTTACCGCAAAAAAAAACTTATCAATACAAATCGACCGTGATCATCGATATCAGTCGTTGTTTGTTATCGCCTCGCGTTAACATATACTACGTGCACTAGTTACGGATAAATGTTTTACACCGGTAGGTACGTACATCGACAAGTATACCATTTTCTCCGTTCAACGGAATAATATTCTGTACTCTAAGATTTTATGTTTTTAATCGACGAACACGAACAATTATTGTATTATCGTCAGTAAAGAAACAAAAATGTAAATACATGCATATATTTTTTTTCAGCATTAAAATCGGTAAGACGAGTGGAATCAACACAGATAATTCGAGTTATGCTCTGCGCGCATCACGTTTGAATTATTGTTATATAATATAATAACGTTATTCGACATTGTGTAAAATTAGTATTTAAATTTAAACGCGATACGTTTTTATGTTATTACTTAGAACTTAACAGTAACAGTAAACGCAAACTTTTCAAAACAAAATTATATTTTTTACTGAGAAACGGACACGCCCGAAAACATAATGCACTCTAACGATATTCGGAAACTAAATATTAATGTGACCGGCCGACGACATCGTCATGCGGTATAGTTAGAACTAATCACGCGAACGTAGTAGAATTAAATGTGTAGGCACGCGTACAGTAATTGATCGATAATAAACGCACGTTAAATAGTAAACACGTGTGATAATTTTATGTGCCCTATATACTATGAATTATTGTTGTAACGAAAATATGCATATTTAACGACAACTATTGTAGTTAAACTTAACGTCTTGAGTAGAGTATTACGAACGACTGTAAACAATAATATTATTTTTTTTACATTTTTTACTGAAAACTACAATTAATGTTTAACTCGATTGATGACTGCAGTTTTACATTACATTTACAAAAAAAGTATATATATGTATATAACAATTAAGTTATTCGTTTAAAAACAATATTTCTCACGTTTATTAAAATATGATTGCAACTAGTTTACACACATTGTACACATTTTTATTTAAAACCTGTAACTTGTCTGTGCACAAAATATTATAGAATACACCACTATTATGCATAATTAACATATGGGTTTATACAAGAGATTAAATTTCGTTATACCATTTTACTTTATTATTAAAGAAAAACGAAAGGAGCTAAGTTAAATTCGAATCCACAATGTTAATTATTATTCGTCGAAAAATAATAATACAAATAACCTAGTACACGACAGATGTATAAATGAAGTAGTAAAATTCTGAAATTATTTAACCGGTGTACTCGTACCGTATAGGTAATAACCGCTTTCAAGGTAAACCTTTAAAGTAAATGTTCGTTAAATAATAATTCAAACATTTTATAATAATTTTAAATAATCATATAATTTAACATAAAACGCATTTTTAACGACACCCATAAAGTTAACATATTCACCGTTCAGCATTGAGTCTATATATAACTTATATAAAATGTAAGATTAATATTTTGTGCGCAAATATTTTATAACTTTGGTACATGTGCGCGAGCTAACATGACCTAACCTAATAGTTCGTATATTACGTTAAGGACTTTAAATGAAAAAAAATAAACAAAAATCAAGAGCAAGGCAGTAGGTATTTGTACGTTCCGTATCGATTTTCCTTGGGGAGCACACGAATACTTGGCCAGCAATTCATTTTTCTTCACATTGCTCCTTTTCGAACGTGTTAACGGCCGCCGGTGTATGGAAAACGGCCGGCTGAATTGTTGAGGTTTAGAGTAAGCAAAAACAGCATGCTCGTCAGCATTGATTTAAAATCGAAATCGGTCTTACTTCCACTTCACATACAAATCCGAACACCGGTCGAGTGCATCTATCTACAGCGTTATGGACGTCAATCTCGTTTCGTGTAACTGATTCGGTCGCGCCATCCATTTCAGCCGCAATTGAACACGGGTTGACCGTTTAAGGATTGTCTAAGGGCAGGACAGCTGGACGATAACCGTTCGGTGATGGAATTATTTTGCGCCCCACACGAATCACGACGCCACAGCTCGCTCTGAACGTTCAGCGCAGCATTACAAAAATAATGTGCGATATGTGCAACGGGCAGGACACGCAGTGTACATTTGTGCGCGCCGCCGACTGTTTGCGCAGTCACGGTTTTTGTGTTTAAAGGGCAAAAACATGAACCGCCGACGATAAACGGAAGATAATAACGAAAAGTCACTCAGTAGGTAATACGCGGCGGCGTGTTATTAAAATGATGGTAACGGTAATACGCGATGCTTAACGCGATACGAGCGCGCGTATTATCCTACATTTGAATTTCTGGTCTCCGGGAAACAGTTGCTTTTATAATTGTATAATTGGTTTGATTACGTGTAGGTACGCGTGTATTATATACTTACGCGATACGTTTGTTATGTGTGTATACTGTACATGTAACATTAGCTCAACACGATTATTATTAATTAATTATTATTTTATTATTAATTATTGGTATTAGCGGTCACGCGCGTATGCAAGAGAGAGATAGGGTGTTTAGGGTTAAAAGGATCTCCGCTCTTCGAAACCGTGATCAGATCAAATTTCACGACGTTATTCGTTATCTGTAAGTAATTTAAATAATTGTAACCCTTGAAAATCTTAATCTTCACCTTCCCACAATATTATTTTGCGTTCGCGTCTGTAAACGCTCGCAGTATACGCACGATGACCGCTACGAATGTATGGTACTACGTATACGACCGGATCGGTGTGCGTGTCTATAATACCATGAATTAGCTAATATAAAAAATTATCTCCGACGTCGTTTACGATCATTGCGAAGTCTTTGAAACGAGTGTTAATATTTTTCACTTTTTTCTTACTTTAATAACTTTTTTATGATTATACTCTATTTGGTAATGAATATTTTTGATTTAATAAAGCAAATTTTCCCTAAGACATATACTATTTTTCAGTTTAAAAATTAAAAATTTCACTTTTTCCACCAAGATAAAGTATTTAAAAATATTTAGTGAAAATCAACGTTACGCGAAAGAAAAAATAATAATAAAACCTCATATACTATTTTTACATTAAAACATTAAAATTTATTTACGACCCATAAATCTTTTAATTTTTCTACTGTGTTGTAAACGCTTAATCAATTTTAAATCCTTTTTTATGACGCGTATAATTTATTTAAACATTTTTAATTGATAATCACGTACAGTTAAATTTATAAACGTTTTTAAATAACATAGTTGTATCTTTATAACAATGTAATAACTTACTTCGATATTTATAAAATGTCATGTTAATATATTTTTTATTTGGTTTTTGAAAAATAATACTTGAATATCTTAACTAGATATAATATCAACCCAAGATTTAATATGTATACATAGGCAATGTGTACATGAATACAGGCGTGGGGATGAGGGGCTTTAGTTCCCTATTTAGACATATTATATATTATTTATGTATGTAATAAATACGTAAATAGGCATGTTTGAAAATTTGTTAAAATACTAATGAACTTACTAGTTTTTCAAATGTTATCGTTTTAAAATATATTATAACTTAAATTAAAATTATATATTTTGTCTTTCTGTAAATATAAATTAGCTCCCTCTCCATTTCATATTTTTACATCCGCCTGTGTATGAATTGTAAACTACATTTTTTAGTACACGAAACAAACAGTTGTAATATACTTATATGTATACTGGTCGAAGAACGAAATATGAAATGAATTCATTATGTTATGTACACAAAACCGTATTAATTCGTAATGTATGTCAAAATAAGTTCACCGCGGAGCAGTGAAATCATTATTATTATAATACGAAAAATATGTTTATTAAATAAAACGATACGAAAAGCGTTGCAGGTGGTTTTTTTTTCGAGTAAATAAAATTATAATTATTCGTGTGACTACACAAGCATGACCAACGCGATGACGACTTGTTTCGAATCGGTAAACGTAATATATTACACGGAGACATTACCAAGGTTTACGGGAGGGAAGAAAAATAGTACACATTCGTGCTGCAGCAGATGCAGTGAAAGACGTGCGAATGAAAACAATTAACAGTTCGGCGGCTTAATCGTTATCAGTGCACCAGTCGTGCCCCGATGAGCGCGCGTTACGAGTAAATCACAATACACCACGGGATACGAAGACGAAACAAAATTAACGTACTACGCGCCCGGTAAACGAAATACGCCGACTAACCGTAACTCGACTTTCGACCCGTACAGAAACATGAAAATAACGCGTACGAATTCAACAGTAATATTATCGAAAACAGACCGTATCGCGAGTGCGAAATATGACTCCGTGCAAACAATAGTATGATGCACGCCGAATACGTACTGCGATGATTTCGATTATTCGCGAACAAACGTCGCTGGTGGCCTAATGCGTTTGTATAAACACAATATTACGTACGAGTAGTCAATATAGTTTTCATTTCACGACAATCGTATGACGAAAACGAACGGTAAAGTTGAAAATACTTTAGACACGTGATATAATATTGCGCTCGTAAAACAGAACATAACATAGCGGTAGACGTGGCCGGGTGTGAACATGTAAGTAGTCATAAAGCACTACGCGAAGCCGGACGTGAGCTAGTTCGAATTCAACATTGGGCTAAAACGGTATATTTTAATAAATCTCGAGTGCTTT